TCAAGATATGGGGCAGAAAATGTATATATTTATATCATTTCATATAGTTAATATCACATGAAGAGTGACGTTTTTTTTTTTCCTCTCCAAAAGTCAGCATGATTACAAATGTTATATTTATTTTATACAACAGTTCAATAAACAATAAGTTAATATCAAGAGACTTACGTTTTAGACACCATAATGGCTGTTTTTGCACTATTTCTGTGCTATTTCGCCAACAACAAACATTCCAAACACAGCCACAGTACTGTTTTGCGTCTCTGAGCAACATTTTTTGGCTAGTAGAAGTTATGAATGTCCGGTAACTTCAAAATTTAGTAGCCAAATTGGCTGGTGAGTGAAAAAGTTAATTTCAATCCCTGGTTTTCATGTTTTTGAATCATCGCTCCGTCCGGACAGGGCAACACAATATGGTAAGAGACATAACATTTCCGTCACACGCTTGAGGTATTCGGCCAATCACAACGCACTGGATAGCTGGCCAATCACAGCACACCTCGCTTTTTCAGACCGATGAGCTTTGTAAAAATCGACGCGTTTCAGAAAGGCGGGGCATAGAGGAGAAACAATAATGTACAGTATGTGGAAAAGAATGTTTTTTTTTTTTTTACCTTAAACCGCATAAACACATTTCATTACACCAAATACACAAAATAATGTTCTTTTTAGCAGCATCATACGACCCCTTTAAACAGATGCTGGTATAAACAGAACATAATAACCTACCTCCAATAAATCTTGACACTGCTGCATCCCGATGTCACACAAAATACCTTTGACGCGTTTCCTTGGACGTCTGAGTTTTGTCAGGTTCTTCACTGGAATTTGATACATTTTGCTGATCCTTTAAACGAAAACAAAAATAATACGAAACGCTGAACAGCCTGTCAAATCAATGCGTTGCGCTTTCAAACACCAAACTCAGTCTGTATTTGGCGAGAATCTAATGGACATTTAAGAGAGCTCTAAATTAGCATATTATTGAGGCCTATAACATAGTTATAATAAATATAGCTAGTTGTAAGTTAACTATGTACCTAGCAATGTCTGTATTTCAAACCATCGTCGGACACATCATTATAATTTTTTTAACCAGCCATGGATTTTAAGTAGTATTCAAGCAAGAAAGAAAGAAACTACATATGTCATTTATAATCCGAACTGTATTGATGACTAAACCTGTGTCTACCTCCAGTCCTCCGGCACAGAGCTGCGAATGAGTGGATGGATGTCTGCGTGCGTACGTCCGTTTCTTCCGGCGTCACGGGAAGGCGCGCAGTATGGAATCGGCTACTTCATCGCGTGAAGCATCCGGGTTGCGCTCAATCCGCGTTCCTTGTTGCACTGGTGATCGTCTGTTGAAACCTGAACAGAGCGCAGGATTGCCCACTTTTGATTATATCTCACTAAAACATCACCCCACTCCTGCTGAAAAACATGGCGTACAGGAAGAAGGGAAGTGACGTTTTCTGATTTACATATTGCATAGTGCAGATCCACCAATGGGAGAAAGGTGGGCTGATCTTGCAAAGTTGATCAAAGTGATGGTCATTCGTTATTGGAATTAACCATAAACCCACGGCTGGGATCTTCACCTGTGAGTGATGTAGACACACCTGTGTCACAACAACACCTTCAGAGGTGCTTTTATGGGAAAGATGAATTGATGGGTTCAAGTGTGACATGATGATGAGAAGGCAATAGGAGTGTTGCTTGTTGTATAATATGCAGAGGATACCTGCTGCTGTTTAGGTGGTCTCTTGCATCAGTGCTGATGTTGCCACAGCAGGTCAGTTCAATTTAAAACGATTGAGTATTCACAAGTGCAGTGAAGAACATTTAGGCCTATGTATGCACCTATAGAACATATCTGCATTAGGACTGTCACTAAAGGACACAGAGTGATATTTTATGGGTGGGAGGTCTATCCATTGGTCTCTGTGCATACAAGGACCTAAATGGGCCCCCTATTGTCACAGTGCCTGTGACATTCCCTTACGGTTTAAGAATACATTTAAAACCACAGAACACTGCAAACTTCATTACACTCAAACCCACACTCAAAGTTTTACAGAATCCTTTCTTGCCCATGTTACTTAATAAAATGCATCACTTGAACTAAAAGGGATAGTTCACCCAAAGATGACAATTCTATAATGATTAAACCCTTTTGTCATTTCAAACTTGTGAGTTTCTTTATTCTGTGGAACATAAACAGAAGATATTTTAAGAAATGTCTCAGTGTTTTTCTTTGTCCATTCAATGGAAGTCAATGGTAACCAAAACTGTTTCCTCAAAATATCTTCTTCTACAGAAGAAATAAAATCAGTCAGGTTTGGAACAACATGAAGGTGAGTAAATATTGAGTTTTTGTTTATGGTTGAACTATCCCTTTAGTTTAATAGTCTTGTTAGCTTTATTTGACAAGTGTTGTTCTGTGAATATAAAACTAGTGAGAAGAACAGCCAAACGGATAAACACAAAACAGGATGGCCCTTTGTGCGCAACATGATTGTGTCGGTATGGAAGATGCAGCTTTTCCCACAACTTATATTGATTTTATTTTTCATGGACAACATGGACAAAGAGTGTATGGGATGCTTGTGGGGCCCGTCTGTAACAGCAAGCAGCCATCAACCTGTAGCTGTCAAGTCCTCCTGGGAAAGCTCAGGCTGCTCCTGGACGAAGTGTTGGTGAGGCCAGCAGGGGGAGCTCTTCCTGCGGTCTGTGTGAGTGCCAGTGCTCTGATATAGTGACGATAATGCTACAGTATATACTGTAAAAATCCAATGTTGAGTACAAAACACTGTTAAGAAGTTAGTTTAATTTATTGTAAGCATGTTTGTTTATTTAATGCTATGAACTAAAATTGTATAGTGAGTTACTGTTTTATTTTTAATATGTATGGTTTTATTTGTTGAATTATTTTGTTGGTGCAAATGGAATTCAATTTTTAAGTAAATTTTGTGTTGTTTTCTCAGTGTTAAGAACAAAGAGCAAAGAAATCCAATACATTTCAACAAGCATCTCTATTAAAAAATACTTCATTATACTAATTTTATGTTTGAATAAGAATGCAATTATACACAAATTGCAAGTAAAATCATGCTGTAATGCAATGTTGAAATGCATTCAGACTTCCACCGCCAAAAATGGTTTTGCTGCTTGTTCAGTTTCCTTTATTAAAATGAGCTAATACAACACAATTCTTGAACAGACTTCATTTCATTTTTGTGCAGTCAACTTTAATTGGTCAAAATAGATGTTTGCTTAAAGGGGTCATATGATGCGATTTCAAGTTTTCCTTTCTCTTCGGAGTGTTACAAGCTCTTGGTGCATAAAGAAGATCTGTAAAGTTGCAAAGACTAAAGTCTCAAATCCAAAGAGATATTCTTTATAAAAGTTGAGTCAACCACGCCTACATAAAACGGCTCGTTCTAACACGCCCCCACATGTCTACGTCACTATGTGGAAATATTAGCATAATGCGCCCAAATGTTCATGCAAAGAAAGAAGGCATGGTTTCAGGAACAGCAGTAGTGTTGATGCAGCCATGTCAGGCAGACGGTGTGTATTTCAGTGCGAAAGCAAAGCACTTTATTTGGCCTTCCGGAAGTAGATGCAATTAGGTAATGTGCAGTATTTGAAAAACAATGTGTTTTTTGAACATTAAAGCATGTCAACATATTCTGTTACACCAAATACACAAAATAATGATCTTTAAAATAGCATCATATGACCCCTTTAAGCAAACTGTGTTGGACTACATTAAAAAATTATACAAATATGTTGTGTGTAATAGGAAATTTCTAATATAATTACCTTTTTTGTAAGAAACCATATGATACATCTGGTAGAAAACAACACTAGTCACCAATTCATGTGCTAATTAACTGAAAGAGATTCAATGATTTTAGTTTAACACATATATTAATCTAAATTTATTGGGGTTTTCAGTTATGTTTTTCATACACAAAGTATATGAGTAGAGGTGCATTTAATTAAATGTAAAATTACTGTATTTTCCAATTCATTTTATTTAATGCATAGTTCACCCAAAAGTGCACAATTTAAAATGGGTGGTGTATTTTTGGTTTATCTTTTACAAAATAACAACAATTCCATCTTCCTCCATTGCCCCCTGGGGAAACAGTAAATGGCGACTCAGATCTACATGCCACGTGTTTAGAATGTCATGGGTACTGGAGCTTCCCTGTCTGATGGCTGGATTACAGCCGAAATGCTGTTGGGAGGTCCGATGCCTGTGAAGAGGGACGCTGTGGTCAGTGTGAGCTGTATGAGCGAGACAAGGCTGAGAGTGATAGGACGCAGCCGAAATGAGCGAGTTGGGCCATCTGGCAGAAACTTGGGGCCTGTAGCAAATATTAACATATGGCTGAAAAGAATGAGAGGCGGATGAAGAACCCGGATGTCGGGACAGGTGCTTGTTGGGGCTCTCGACAACCACATCTGCATCCTCTTCGCTCTCAGAGCCATTACCTAAACCATAAGCTTTCATTATCACAGGTAGCCCTGGAAAGCTTACGGAGTGCGTACTATCAAAATAGTGTCCCGAGCTTGAGGAACTGCAGCTTTTTCGCCTTATGTTGTTATGCTGGTTTGCGGGTTTCACTGTGATGATGAGGTTGTGGCTGTTTGCGATCATCATGTCGGTTACCTGATCCAAAGACTTCCGCATAACATCAATACCATTCACTTCCAGGACCTGGTCATTAATGGCCAGCAGTCCCGTGCAAGCCGCCAGTCCTCCAGGAACTATGCGGGAGATAAAGATGCCCGGAACCTTTTCCAGACCGTATGGAGTAACCCTGACAGTGGTACCATCGCGAATGTAAAACCCCAGAGGTCTGTCCGAGCCCTGGCGATACAGACGCACCCTTCGGTAGCATTCTGGTATGATGTCCACGTCAATGATAGACGAAACAGGGCGGAAGTTCTGTGGCATGCTGATCTGGAATGGTGTTTTTCTCTGGCTGACAGGTTTCTTTCGTTTTGTTGTATCTTCAGCACCTGTGATATCCTGGTCAGCTTCCTCTGTAAAACAGTGTGGGAAGAAAGTTGAATGAAGCATTTTCTGCAGCTCTGAAATTATGAGATCAGATGATTATGATTATATTTTATTTTTAACTTATATTTTAGTGTCCGCGCACTTGCTATGATGTTGTCTAGAGAAGAGACTTTCAACCTGAATTTAAAAATTGAACTGCTACAATTTTAGCTTAAATTGTATTTATTTGCAATAAAACACTATTTACTTATGAGGGAACAAGTAAGTCCAATTTAAAAATAAATACAAATAAATTAAATTATTTTAACAAACAAATGAATAAATGTCCTGATGAAGTAAATTCTTCACTAAATTTATATATTTCTAACTCTATTTCTGTACTTTTACATTTATTTATTAATTATTTATTTGTATTTCTGTTTATATATATTCTTAGATTATTTCCAGAATTATTTTCACATTACTGTGGAACTTCTAAGACCTCTGGTAGAGATCACATGAACTAGGACGGAAAGCAACAAGATAATCTACTCTATCTGACAAACAAACACACCACAAGGGAATACAAAGCAATTATACTCAAGTACATGATTTCTAAATTCCTTCCTTTTCTATTCCTTCTGCTTTAAGAAGCTCAAAAAGGAAAACTAAAAAAATGCCTTGATTAAAGGCCTTAAGGTCTTAAAATGATATATTCCATTTAATGAAATATCCACAATTTATCTCCATTCAGAAAGAAGTCTTGCTGTATTAGTATAAGAATTTATATCCATGTTATGTATTTGAAAAATAATGCCCTTTGGTACATACATACATTATAATATTTAAGTTGAATAGAAAGAGTACATCAACGTGTGTGGAGCAAAGAGTATTTAAAAGGAAATTAGAGATACTGTATTTATAGATAGCCTCTTTTCCCTTCCCGTATACCTTGAAGCTGAATGAAGATACGCAGTAAAGATTGTGTGGAGGTCACAGCTTTGCAAAAGTTGTCATCATTATTGATGGGCAGCAGCTCTCCTTGGACATCCGCATATTCGATAAGGACATCATCCATTTGCCATAAGTGATGTAAACGCACAATGAGCCTGTGGAAGTCTTTAAACCTGCCAGGCTCACAGCGGTCCAGGGAAAACCTCCTGAATTCTGCTCCATACTGTAAAGAGAAGTGAAATTGTATGAAAATAATGTAGGCTATATTTGAAAACACAATATCTCAATCACACTTTTATGCTCTACTGGACAAGAAGCAGTGAATGAGCTGGGGCTGCATTCAATCAGCTGAAACAATGGACATATTTAAGAAGTGAGCCGTTTCTGGATATTGTGTAGGTTTTGATTGTTTAAGTTATTGTTTACAAAGGTATTTCCTTTCAGTCTAATAATACTTAAGAGCGCCAAGATAACCACTGAGACACATGTAAGACACATTACAAGAATTCTGTGAATACATTTCAAATCTGGATGAAGAATGTGTAATTCCAAAAAGATTTAATAAAGTCTTATGAAGGAAATGCATACCGCCAGAAACAACGATATTGTATGGTAATATAATAAATGAAAGATACATGCTACAGATCAGTAGTCAGAATAAAAGTACGTCAGCTTACTTTACTTTTCACCTCGAGGACCGAACAGCAACGCAGAGACTGAGACTTTTTAAGTGCCCGGTTCATGTTGTCCGATGAGCGGTCAACGAGCCACTAACCGCCAAACACTCTCAACATGACAAAATAGCGTTACGTTTTCGCATCACTGAAGACGCGGAAAAACAGGAGGAATGGCTTGTCAAAAGACGGGAGAACACGGAAACTACGACACTTCCCAGACATTAGTAGATTACAGCATGTGTCTCTTATTAGACTTCTGTAGGCTATTTAGTATCGGCAGATCACTTAGATAAACATGCAATAATTTATTTGTGAGCCAGCTGTCTACAAAATTAGTGAAGAATGAATAGATAAACAATATATATATATATATATGTATATTTATATCTAGGCCTATCTATATATATGTGTGTGTGTGTATATAGAGGATAAAATAAGAATGTATATTATCTTATTTTATCTTAGAATATCATGCAGTCTTCGTTTAGTGCTCCTGCCTGCTTATCGTTCTCTCTGTATATGTATGTAAATACATAACTACATAAAAGTAACAATTTTTTTTTTACCTAAAATCCACATAATAGCATGTGTGCAGTATAAAGTATGAAAAGACACCCATACATAACTGTATTGTCACGTTTATTTTTGAGTAATTCTTTCTTAGCATCATGATCTTTTTTTAATGGTCAGAAATGTGAGAGATTTTGTAGGACAGAAAAAAAATTTAATTCATACTGTGCTGTTCAATCTAACACATCCTTTAATATTCTTTAGGCTATTGAATTACCATACATAAAACATTTAAAAGATGACACAAAACACAATCACAAAACAAAATAAAATGATTACTAAATCTATTAGTATTTTCTCTGTTTTTCTGGTTAAAAACAAAAGAGGAACAGATGGCTCTGTGTTCTGGCTCTATGCCTTGACTTCATCAGGAAGCTGGCCTCCAGTTACAGCGGCCAAGGCATTGGTCACCATCCTCTCCACCATGATCTGTGAGGTCTCCATGGTGTGGGTTCCTACATGAGGCAGGACGATGACATTTGGCAAGGCCAGCAGGGGATGATCCCTGTATATAAGCAAGAAGCATATCATTTATACTACAACTGTAACAAAAAAACAAACATTTAGGTTTGCAATTTTACTATCCTCCTTATAGTGATTTAGGCAAGTTTGCTAAACAAAAACGTGCCAAGCAAAACAAACCTGGGAAGTGGTTCGGGATACGTGACATCTAAAGCAGCAGCTCTTATCATTTTCTTCTTGAGAGCATCCACTAAAGCATCTTGGTCCACTACCAAGCCTATGACAAGGAAAGTTGTTCTCAAACAGGGCTGCTTCTGTTTAATTAGATTGCTTTTTTTCCAGCCTATTACATTACCTCTGCTAATGTTGATAAAGGTGCTATTGGGTTTCATCATGGCAAACTCTTTGGCACCAATCAGTTTGTGCGTCTGAGGGGACAGATTGACCACCACCATGACGAAGTCTGACCTCTGTAACAGCTCCTTCATGCTTGCACAATATGTGGCCCCAACTGCTCTCTCTTCACTCTCAGGCCTGAACATATAAAATGCTGTGAAATTAAATTAAAGTATTACATTTAGCCAATCTAATGTTAAAAAGTCCTGACAACAACCCATAAGGCCTTGTATAATTAAATATTATCCCAGTCACAGACTAAATATGTGACCTAGCTGAAAGGCCCCATTGTAATTTTACACTTTATTTTAAAAGGAATAATTGCAATATTGACAATATATGTTCATACACTACCTTTCAAAAGTTTGGGGTTGGTAAGATGTTTTTAATAGGGTTGCAAAGGGGTGGAAAATTTCCGGAAACTTTCCAATAATCCCTGGAATATTCCAAAAAATGGAATGTTTCTGAAATTTACTGGACATTTTCCACCTTTTTTGCAACCCTAGTTTTTAATGTTTCTGAAAGTCTCTTAAGCACTCCAAGGCTGCATTTATTTGATCAAAAATACAGCAAAATTTAGAAATATTACTACAATTTAAAATATCTGTTTTCTATTCAAATATATTTTAAAATGTAATTTATTCCTGTGATGGTACAGCTGAATTTTCAGCAGCCAATACTCCTGTCTTCAGTCTCTTCAGTGATTCTTCAGAAATAATTTTAATATGCTGATTTGATGCACATTTCTCATTTTCATTAATTTTGAAAGCAGTTGTGCTGCTTAATTTTGTTTTGTGGAAAAGTTTTTGTAAAGTTTTACAAAAGATCTTACAAAATACACAGAATTTTACAAAATGTAAAATGTAACATCTTACTGTCACTAGTGATCAATTTAAAGTAAAAAAAAAAAAAAAAAAGAAACCCACTGACCTTGAACTTTTGACCAGTAGTGTATATCAGTGACTTTTTTAATATTTTAAAGCAATGTCTAACTACTTCTTGTACAAAATATATACAGAAAACTGATAGTTTATGTATTACTCAAGCTGGTAAGAAGCTGTTTAGTGACAGAGTGAATATTTCAATCAAAGTTCACCTCCGATTCCTATTGTGGTAAAGTATTTTCATCTCAAACCCTTGAGCTCTCTTGGCTATTTTGTATCCTATTCTACCCATGCCGATGATGCCCAGGGTGGCTCCGGTAACATCAGTGCCCAGAGAGGACTCTGGAAAATCATCAGACTCTCGGAACTTGGAAAAAATGTGCCCTGCAGAGAAAAAGAAATTCACAATGGATTCAGACAACAATATGATAAACCAGTAAGTAATATAGAAAGGAAACTGCATCTCTCACCTTCAACAATCTTCCTTGCAGATGCCAACATCAAACTCACACCAATATCTGCAGTGGCATTATCCACTACATGAGGAGTGTTGGAAACTTTGACTCCAAAGCTATTAATCAGGGGAATATCAAGGTGGTCTACTCCTACCCCACCATTAACAACAGCTTTGAGGTTGGGCAAAGACTGTAGCAGGTTTTGGTCAACTTTTAAAGCTCCAGCACCCCAAACAAACATTGCCTGGATTTTGTCAGCTAAGTCTTCTTTCCTCTGTACAAACCTCTCATATGGGATTATAGTGAAGTGTTTCTCGATACAAGGTGCAAAGCACTTGTAGATGCCTCCGGGTGCTCCAAGTGTGGTAGCTAATATGCATGGTTTCTCCATAACCTGTGAGAAATTAGCCCGTGCTATCATAAATTAGCAATACCTATGTAAACAAAGCAACAGGCTAACGCAAAATGTCTTTAAACCTCTTATATGAAAGATCATTCTTTCTCACCAGTTGTGTGACAGTCGATCGTAGTCTGAATGTTCGCTGGATAAGTCTGCTTGTCATGTGCAACATTGTATTTTATTTTCCAGACATGGTTAATCAAGCACCGATTAAGACCAAAGGTGGCTTCCTGTCAATCATTATATAACCGTTCAGCTTAACAAAAAAATCGGACGACTGTCAAAAAACAGAAGCCTGCTTAAAACTGTTTACAAATCGTCTGTTGTCACGTTTCATCATCGGAGAGTTTGATAGTTGCTAGTTACGCAATAACCAGAAGAGGGCGTTAGAAGCTCATGAATTGTATTAGTTGGCCATTTCTGTCACATGATTTAGTACATGTCGTTGTTTGATGGACATGTGCTTCGTGTTTTTACTTCTACCCGAAATTATTTCCAGATTTGACTTTTTTATGAATTGTATGATTTCCTTTGATCACTAGCACTTTGTAATGAAGGACTCGTATGCTTTGCTTTGACAACATTATTATTTTGGTTTAGCTTACAGTAGTTCATTTTGTAGCCTATGTTTTATAGTAGATTAATTAATAAGCCCACTAAAAATATAAAATCTTATCATATATTTATTTAAAAAACTCCCTCACATTCACAAATTCTTAGAATGCCACAAGTTTACAACACTATAACAATTAAATTGTGGTGATGAACCAATCATGCGAAGAGTGAATTTGCTAAAAAAAAAAATTAAATTTACATTTTAAGGCCATAAATTAAATGTTGGAGGCTTTGACGGTTCGGAGGGACATTGCATTAATTCCAGAACCGTTAGTGGATGGCTATTAATGGCTGCAGCAGAGCTCCAGCTTTGCCTCCATCTGTTTGAAAATTCACCTAGAGATTCAGCATCAGAAATAAACAAACAAATAATTCAATATACTGAAACTCTAGCAAGTACATGTTTTCATTTCCACTATAAAGGACACTAAATGCATTTCTGAGCTATGATGAATTGTTTTAACGAACAAAGTGAGTCATAATTTGTTCATTTTCTGAATATTTCAGCATTGGCTACTCTAATACAATGATGCCCGGTGGATTCATGTTGAACACCCCAAGTCCATCTGCTACAGTTGAAGGTATGCCACAATAAAGGTTCACAACAACTATATCTGAGTGATTATTCACCACACACACATTGTATAGGGTCAACCTATAAGTTATTTGATGACGGTAGATAAATAATCCAAAGAAACTAGACAGTCATAATACCTTGTTATATAAATACATTCATTTAACATCTGACCAACTCTTAAAAGTAAACAATGCATATACTGTGGATCTAAAGCAGATCAATCTCTACCAACCTGAATTGTGTCCTGTCTTTGTATGAAAACTACTTCCTTGAGAGTTTGCTTGGTTTGGCAATCGGCCAAAAATCTTTTCTGTTCTGCTGAGCACTTCTCTTCAAAGTCTAGTGCTTCACAATTAGCCTACATCTCTGACTCTGCCCCAGGGACAGGCATGTTTTAAAGTGATGAATTGATTCTCCTGCCAGCAGGGTGGCCCATTATTAGTGGTGAATTACAGCATTCATAGTCTACTTAAACCCCTATTTTTTTTTTCTTGTTTTCAAGTTCTTGTTTTGCAGACTTTAACAGGCTCATGTGATTTAACAAATCTTAGAGTACTACAATGTTCCTCTTTTTTAAACTCAATAGACAAGAAAATTTAAACAGCATTCAGTCATATCCTTATGAATTCTAATGTATCCTAAATTCAGTGACAGTTATCTCACTTAAAAGTCAGAATGGATGACATTTTGAAAAATAATTTTTTTTTTTTTTTTCTCTAGTGGTTCTTTGTACAGTGGTTTATTTATTTGTATCCCAAAACCATTACCAACTTCTTTCAGTTTGCTTTTCCTGTCTTTGGCATTTACAACTCTAGTCGAAATCTCTGGTGTAATGAAATGGGCACTTGTGCTGTGATATGCCCCTGATACTTCTTGAGGTTATTTTTAACGCTGTTCCAATTAAAGAGGCCTATCTGCCCTCAGGCTCAGGCTGAATGATAATGTTTCTGGTAGAAAGACAAAGAACAAACTTCAGCAGATCTTTAGCTGCACAATCACAGGAATATCCTATCTTGCATTTTTTTCCAGCCAAAAAAAGTAAAGAATTCTAGAACCAAAGGAAAGGATATGGAAACAAAAATATACATCAGAAAATTGAACTCAGGAGCAGCCTGTACATTTTTATAAGCATTATGGAGATGACACAGTCAACCAGCCATATTTGATATTCATATTTGAATTCTCTAATATTCTCTCTAAATTCTAATATATAATACATTTTCTCTATTTTCTTCTCAATTTTCTGTTGCAAATTGTTGGCTCTTCTATAAATTGCTTGTGATTGTCCTCATTTGTAAATTGCTTTTGCTAATATCTAAATGAATCAATGTAAATTTAAATTAACTTGTTAAATAACTTAATATGATGCATTACTTTTTTTGCAGCAACCCTGTTGTCTAATTCAAATGAATGACACTCAGAACATTTCACACTGTAATGGGGAAAAATACCCCATCAGTTTTATCCCCATATACTGGGATTGCTGATCAGAGTGTTTATTTTTAGAAATAATCCCTGGATTATCACAGAGAGGGGTTTGCTATAATCCTTAAAGACTCCTTGATTTCACCAACATTAGCATAGTACAATGCATTTAGGGCCATGGGTTTCCAAAACTAGCAACTGTTATCATTTTATTTAAAGCAACGTATAGGGGATAACATGTATATATATATATAGTTATATATATAGGTTTGCATGTGAATCATATGTTTCTGTAGGTTCATTATTCACACTGATCCTATCAGTTAGAAATCATTTGTAACACCAAACTGAGTCTTCTTATAAGACAATTTAAATCTGACATTTGCATTTAGACTCTTGATCAAGATGCATGGAAGTGATTTTATTTTTCATTGTTTGCAAACTGGTGACAATGTTCTAATGCCATTCACGATAATGTGAACCACCTAAGCTTCATGACAATTCTAATAACATGTAAAAGACTCCAAAAGTGTTTATTTTGTATACACATTGCACTTATGGGCTAAAAAAAAAAAAAAAGCTTTTTCTTTTTTAGTCCTTTTCATGCATCTTTGTTCCTCTGCACCTTCTTAGAATCAAGTCTAATTAATATTAGAAGCTCAGTCAAAAATACTTCGTGATAAGATTTATAATTCAGATGGCTGAAATACGTTAAAAGCACAGATTCGTGCAATGTTTCGCGACAGGCTTTTCAAATGTAGCGCTAAACGTGCTGATGGTGAATGATAGGACGGGAGCCTCCTCTGAAAGACGCCACTAGGTCGCAGTAACACCGGTGCCATTGAGTTCACACAATATGAGGGAGCACAGCGGCAGCCAAAACCCAACTCTAGATTTTTCAAATTGGTGTGTTTGACTGTTTTGCACCCGCATAATGTAACAATAAACGATACATTACAACCTACGAGAATGGAAGCCAGAAGCTGGCTTTTATTTTGACTGCAAGAATGTGGTGCAGGGAGCCCTGACAATACGCCGTTTAGCTTTCAAATGGAAGATTGGTTACTCCAGCTCATTTCGGTGGATATGTTGCCGTTGTTTTTTTTACACAGACCCTTTCTAATCGCCATGGATCTTCGGATTTGGATTCTTTCTCCTCTTTGGTTTATTGAGCTGTGAAAAGAAGACAGACTACGCCGATCGACCGGGATACAACATTCTCTGCCTACCTCGACATTTTGCTACCGCCGAAGAGAAATATCATTCAAAAGAAATTTGTAAGTGCAAATTTGACGTTTAATCCGTTGCGTGACCATCGAATTCAGTGGCAGCTGCCTCTTAATTTGCATTAATCACATCGCTGTTGTCCCCTGTTTTAAGTTATCATCAGGTTTGTGACAGAATTAGGTCAGATGTTATAAACGACCAGTCCATGAACCATCTTCTATTTGAATTAGAGGTTAAGGACAGGCTGGCCGATCCATATCTTGCTGTTGACCCAAATAATGCATTGGGCTTTTGAAGTGTACCTTGTTACGTTTCGCATTTCCGGTGTCTGTGACATGTTACTATGTTGATTTCCACTGTCAGCTTTGTCATATAGTAGCTCCAGTCGATGTAGACGACTGTCTCGCGACACTATAGCGTGGTCAGTTTTTGTGTCAGTGTGTGTTTGCGGTCGTCATTCTCTCTCTCTGTGTGTGTGTAGGTTGGTTTTTCAATGTCACGAGAATTTAGCTTGTCAAATCGTGGGCAGATGCTTGTATTGTGTGGTTAAGGCTGAGGTGGTTTGCAGCCTGTCTCTGTCCTCCTACTGGTTAGATGCTGTAAGCAGACTGACCTCTTTATTATATATGTAAAATATATGCTAAAACGGTCCCTCATACCCCTCCTGCTGTCACATTATCAGATGTGTTTGTTGTAGTCAAATGAAGTAATCGAGTCACGAGTGATCAAACTCATCTCCTAGTGAGGTATTAGGGTTATTGTCTCTTGTTTGGCCCATCAACCCTATCTAATAATAATTCTGATCATTGGCATTCAAACCAAAGCTATAGTTTGAAATAAAATAAATGTTAACCGGAATAAAATGCTTATTTACTGTAAATAAATTGTTATAATGATATTATGATATAAATAAAATACTGACTTACTTTTAGCTAGTTGCCAAGGCAACATGTCTCATTTCCATTTAGCTTAACTTGATGTACTAAAACTGTAATAATAAATTAATAAAAACTATATAGACATAGTTTCTAAAGTTACTAAAACCTTAAACTAAAATTAAAAAAATGAAAATGGAAAATATTAAAATAAGAACTCATTTAAAATATGAATAAAAACTATAGTATGTCAGTGATACTAAAAAAAACATTTGATAGATTTAAATCAGTGTTAATTAAAAATCACAGTATTTTATAGTAGTAAAATGTTCAGGTCCATATGCATCACCATTTCATCTGTGTATGTGTTGTATTTATTTCAAACTATTAAAATGTGTTATTGTTTGATTTGTGTTTTTAAGAATAAAGGAGAAATAGTTTAGACTTTGAAAACCTATTACTTAAACTTGCATCTATACCAGCAGTTGTCCTCCTCAATGGTATATTCTTTATAAAATGCTTATGACATTTTATTCATTTATATTACTTTTTCAGGTGCAGAAATTACACTTAAAATGAGAATACCTCATATATCCAGGTTTTTCAGGATGCGTGGGAACAGTTGGAAACAGTTGGGAAACCTGGTTCTTTAAAGAAAAACAGCTGTTGAGGGGTGAATTAAAATAAGACATTGTTATTTTAGTTTTGCCTTATTGTAAATACTTTTAAAGTCTGCATAAACCGGAAGTTGCTACCAACTCTTTTTCAGTGTAGTGACGTATTTCCAGCTGAAACGGAATATTGAATAGAGGGCGGGGTTTTATTTTTGCGCTCCTCCTCTCGTCTCTCACTCATAGCAACCTAACGGTTGGAGGGGTGTGTTTAAGGATATCATTTTATGGCCCAAGCCATCAAAATGACGTCATCAGAGAAGGAATGCCATTCCAGAGCGGAAGCAAATGTTCAGATTTTGATTAAAGATACCACCAAGACAAAACATTTTTTCAGCGGATTAACTTGCACGGATTAATTGTTCACATCAAGACTAGCAGTGTGCACTTGTAAAGTAAATAAAGTCACATTTGATTTCATGCAGACTTTAATTCACCTTGAGGTCCCCTTGGAAGTTTGCTGCTGCTCCCTAGTGGGCCCCAGACTCCTGGTGGAGAACTAATCTACATCCCTTTGAATATAATCTTATCTAGGAAACATTAGAATCCATCTTGAGCGTAAGAAAACAGGCTTCGGGACAAAATGCTGACATACAATTCTAGATTTAAAAGCAGATTCCAGCAATAAAGAAAGAAAGAAATTGAATAACAGCAAAGTATTCAAATTTATGAACTGTCATTCTTTGAGGTTTACCATTTCATTCAGTTGCTGTCTGATGTCTATGTTTACATTGACTCTCTGATGTGTAATTGCCACATGGCTTGAAGTACAAGCTCTGAACATTGAGTATGGTTGTATGAGGCTGGGAATGATCAGTTTAAAGATGATAGCTTCTTTGTATGGCACTCTCTGTTTATGGCTTTAGTTGGTATTCGCTGTAATTCATTGCAATCCTGTGGATCAAATACAGCTGTCGCTTAGATGTTTAGATATGTGACGGCACTAGCACAAACACACTTATAACACTTCATGCTGAAACCAATCAGAGTTCAATGTGAAGGTAATTTTATGAATAAACCTCTACTGTTTTTGAAAACGCAAGGCTATGAATATAAATAGCACATTGTGCATATTGAGACTGAGAATGTTTTACATTCTTTCTTCTTTCTTGCCAAACCGGATATGGCTGGTTATTAAATCAACCAAGGGATCAAGAGATTTCTGATTAGGACTGCATGATTCAGCAGCAAAGTTGATATGTCACGTTCCATTGTAAACCGGCCTGTATTTACACAGAAACTCCTCTGTTGCAGTTCCCATTATGCCGTTTGATCTCATTCTTTCTGTTTAAGAATATTACACAATGTCATTCAGGATTAGGTGAGGTTACAGCACACATTATTACTGAGGATTATTGTAACATTATTGAAGTGTAGTGCAAATGAACAGGCTTCAGAAATGAAGAAGGCTGTAAGAAATCGCGTTTCATGCTTTCTCCTGAGCACCATATGTGAAAACAAATCTATTTAATGTGACAGCATCAGAGCAGAAATTGGCAGATATATATCGCTCTGTGTTTACAGTGAGCACAGGCCTGCCACACATGCCAGAGATGGCCATGTAAACTGGAAGCTCTTGTGTCCCACACATTTTCTTTGGCCTCAGCAGTCAGAGATATTTGATATATGTTTAGCTCCTTTAGACTCATCCTTGGCATCAGTTTGCTTCACACAGTAACAGAGAAGTAAAGCCCATGCTACAGTGACCCAGTTTAGGTAGTGCTACATTTACAAACACTGGAAAGACTAATTCATTCAAAGGGTTTGCTTTAAACTTTTTTTTTTTTTTTTGAATATGCTGACTGTTATTGCAAATCTTGACTAACTGGTTTAGTGGGGTAGCTTAAACGATAAGAATCCAGGCTGTTAACTCTAATGGTGATGCTAATCTATTTCATTATCATTTTTAAACTTTTGGACCTCATCTGTAACTGACAGAGACATAATGGACCTTTAATTTCGTCACAATCTGTTTTCACTTTAGTCACTGCATTGGTTAATATGTTTCAGTGCAGTTCAAGGATTTTGGTCTGCGTTTGTATGATATATGATTGCTAATGTGGTTTGAAATATAGGGCCTGAGGAAATACTTGGTCACACTTTATATTACAGTGTTCATTTTACTGTGTATTTACATAAGTAATGAATAATACTAATGGACTACATGCACTTGCTGTGTAATTATTTTGTAGAGCTGACTGTTATTATATTAATTATAGTAACTTGCTTATATGAGACACTGGCACTGTAAAATTAATTGTTTAAATAAGGTCATATTGGTGCTATTGCACAGTAGCAACAGAATTGACATGGTGTTGGATGTCATTAGTTCATCATATTGATCTCATTGTTTAACTTCTAAGTTAATAACTTTTTTTATGAATTTGAGTGCTTATCTTGACACTATATATATA